GGTGGGCAGGGCCAGATTGTGGAGGGCCCAGATGTTTGAGGATGGGGGCGGGGGTCACGGCAGGGTTTTAAACAGAAAAGGAGCGCTGCTGCACTGGCAAGCACCTCCGTGGGAAAGGCTTCCCAGGGACCCGCCTCCCACAGCCTGTATCCACCATACCGGGGTCACCTGCTCTGGGTGACCCTCTAGAGTCACCCAGGATGTGCAGTCTGAGGGCATGAGTTTGATGCTCACCCTGGGGTGGGGGGCAGAGGGGGCAGGGAGCTAACTCACCTTTGTTCCGCCTCCGGACCATCCTCCAGGCCAGCAGGGAGGTCCCCCCCAAGAGAAGCAGCAGAAGGACTAGCAAGGTAAGCAGCAAGTGGAGCCTGGAGGGGAGACGAGGAGGGTGGAGGGCGGGCCAGGCACCTTCCCTCCCAATTCCCCCGACCCCCCACAGCGTGCTCAAGAGGCTTCCAGCCCAGCCCGCGTGGCTCAGCGGTTGAGCATCGACCTACGGTCAGGGCACAGGCCCGGGTTGCGGGCTCGATCCCCAGTCGGGGGCGTGCAGGAGGCAGCCGATCAATAACTCTCCCATCATTGATGTTTCTCTCTCTCTCTCCCTCTCCCTTCTTCTCTCTGAAATCAATAAAGATTAAAAAAAAAAAAATTCCAGCGGCACTTTATTCAGATACAAGAAAATATGAACCCTAGTTTTTTACTTAACAATACATCTTGCAGCTCTTTCCATGTCAGTACACATAGAAGTCCCTCGCTCTTTCTCACAGCTGCATAGTATTCCACGGCCTGGACGGACCATCATTTAATTAACTCGTCCCTTTTAACGGGCATTTCCAATTACAAATATTGCTGCAAAAAATCACCTTGTAGCTCTGCCACTGCACACGTGGATGGGCAGCAGCAGACTTACTGCCACGAGTTGGGGTTCGGGCCCCTCACTAGCTTCGGCCCCTTTTCCCATCCTTCGTTGGCATTCATAAACGTCTAGTCTATTTCTTGAAGACGCACCTCCCCAAATTACCTAGGCTCCGAGCCCCACGAAACCTAGCCCTGCCCTCCGTGTGCGTGCAGTCAGTATCTGGATGTGGCGTGTCTGGGACCTGAATTTCACCTTGCCGGGGTCACCTGCTCTGGTGTTAAGATTGTCACTGACGTGGGCAGGAAGCTTGTGGGAGGGCTGTCACCTGACTGGCCTTTGCCCCTGGCTTCTGGGAGGGGGGTGCTCACCCTTCGGGATTCTTCGTTACATGCAGGCCCCTTGCATCACCCCCGAGGTTAGGCTAAGAGACGAGGTGGCACAGGATGGGGGCTGGACACCAGAAGGAGCAACCCCGTGGTTAGCGGTTTGGGACTCTGAGCCCGCCTGACCTTCAGGGAGGCTGGGAATTGAGTTCAATCATGTGGTCAGTGACTCAACCAATTGGTCTTTGTAATGAAATCAAATAAAAACTGGACACCAGAGCCTGGAGGAGCTTCCTGGTTGTTAAACACATCGAATTCCAGGGGGGTGATGTCCCCACCGCCCGGGAGAGGGCAGGGAGCTCTGCACTCGGAGCCCTCCCTATCCTCACCCTACATGCTCTTCTTCGGGCCAATGCCCACCTTTATCCCTCGTGGTCGAACTGTGACCGTAAGCACAGCGCTTTCGTGCCTCCTATCAGCGACCACCAGTGATCAAAGGCAAGGGGGCTATGAGAGCCCCCAGATTTGGAGCCAGTGGGTCAGAAGTGCGAGGGCTGGGATTCCCCATGGTACCCAGACATCTGAGGTCAGGCAGTCCTCGGGGACCGAGCCCCCCACCTGCAGGGTCTGTGCTAACGCCGGGAGCCAGCGCCGGAACTGAGTCACAGGGCACCAGGGAGTGTCTGTGAACCCCAGAAATGGCTTAGGACAGCATGCGTTTTTCTGGAAAGTCTATAAATGTTGTCGGATTCTTATGAGGTTTGTGACCCCCAAAAGGTGAAGAATCTCTAGTTTAGAAGGAAGAACCTAAGGCTTCGGAATCACAGAACACTGCTTTAGAAGCCCAGCCTGCCTCTTGTAGGTACATCACCTGGCGAAGGACGTGAGGACATGAGTTTGATGCTCACCCTGGGGAGAGGTTAAATTTGATGCTCACTTAACCTCTCCAAGCCTCAGTCTACTCATCTGTAAAGTGGGAGTATTAATTGCGAGGGACATAGTGAGCAGATGAGAACACTCCTGGGAGGTTTAAGCCCGAGCCTGGGGGGATGACACCAGCTCTCATTAAACGTTACTTTCCTTGCATCCCCCCCAGCTTTTCTCCCCTAGAAGCTTCTCTCAGACCCCAAGGCAGGTCCAGTGTGGACTCAACAGCCCACACTGGGAGATGCAGACCTCAGCTTCTGCCTGGGCCTGGCGCAGAGAGAGCCCAAGGCTCCAGCCAGCAGGGGCTTGACTCCCCACCACACACACAGCCCCACAGCGGGGAAGAAGGTGGCCCTGGAAGGAGGTGGCCGCCCAGAGCTCCTCCTGAGGAGAGGGCCCATTTCTAGGACCCTGGGACTAGGGCGCCTTACCCGGAGCCTGGGCTCGCCTGGAAGTCATCCTGGATGTTGGCGCTGTGGGTGATATGGGTGATGTCGGTGATGTGGGTGACATTCGCTGTGGCCCAAGCTGTGGACACAGTTGGAATTTTGGCGGTGTTTTTTGAGGTCTTGTCTGTAGTTGACATTGTAGGTGATGCTGATATTGGTGCTGGTGCAGAAACACAAGTCAGACCCAGGGGTCTCTCTTCCGACTCCACCACCGGCCAACACCTTTCCGGTTTGACTTCACACGAGATGTTCACCCAGGAAGCCAAAGTCTCCCCAGGTCCGTCCTGGCAAGTGAGCATTTCCTAATAGGCTGGGCCACCGCCCCCAAGCGTCCTGATTCCATCCTGCCTAGGTCACCTCCGCACCCTGTCTCGTTCCCCCGCCCGCCACCGCCACAAGCTGCCTGCCAGAGGCGTCGGCTTAGCTGCAGATCTGACTTGTTAGAGCTCCCACTGCGCTCAGCACCGCCAGCTCCCAACCTGCTGACCCACGGCGTCTCCTCTCCTCTCTCTCCTTTGCACACTCTGCTCTCGCGGCCTCCCCTTCACCTGACAAACACCTTCCCATCCCTCAAGACTGAGCACAGGTGCCAGCTCCTCCAGGAAGCCTCCCAGGCAATCAATCAATCTCCCCCCGCCCCACTCACACGCACACGCGCGCGCACACAGTTTGCTCCGAGTCTCTGATCTGACCCCCGCCTCAGCTATTCCCACCGAGACTCCTCAGGCAGCCTGGAGCTGGGACAAGGGGAGGGTGCGTGCGGCTCACCTGGGATCACAGACACCAGAACCTTGAAGGTGACGTCCCAACCTATTTCTCGCCATGGTCTATCGATCCCACACCAGTATGTGCCTTCATCACCCTTTTCGAGGTTCTCCAAGGTCACGGTGAAGGTGAGGTTTGCTGGATCGTCCCTGATGGACACACGGCCCCTCCTCACTTCTCTCCCTGACTTTGTGGTCTCCACAATCTTCTTCAGCAGTGTCGGACATAGGCCTTTGCACCAGTATTTCTTATGTTCAGTGAACTCCGCCTCGTACTGACACTGCACGCTCAGGGATCCCCCGACGGTGCCCGTCACGCGGCTGGGGCCGCTCAGCGACAGACAGCCTGGAAGAC